AGAGGGCTGGATACAGACCGTCCGGTCCTAGCGCCTTCTCGTGTTTCAGTACGGATATTTCGTACTTCACATCTTCCGAATGGCGATCAAGGTTTACATCCCATTCGCCCGTATGCATTATCCCTGCAGGCTGTGTTGAAGGAGGCCAACTGAACTGTTCTTCGAAGTTTCCGGCGCATGTTTCCAGTCGACGTTTTGCGAGTGAATTTATGAGCCATCTTTTTCACGTGTCGTTTCGCTGACCGTTGCTTTCCTGGGGCCAGTCGATCGTATCTTTTGATATAGGGCACGGCTGTTTCCCTTAAAAAAATCTTTTTCTTCTGAGATTTCGAATTTCACCAGAGACTGGTCTTTCCTTAGGCTCTTCATTATTTGGCGTTCGAGGGATTTGCGTGTGCCGTTGTGCTCGTTGCCCGCTGGTATGGCTTTCCTGGCATCAGTCATGGATAGCGATCTCGACGACATCCAGTTGTCTTGTGGTCGAATCGGAGAAGTTGGACAGACAGCACTGAACGTCGCTAACGTAGCTCCTTCCGCATTCGCCACGCTTCATCCACATGCTCATTACCACCACAGTATTGGTTTGCTGTTTAGAGTTGTTGGGATAGCTTAGCTCGATACTGTTGAGCTATGGTAGTTCTTCGAAGACGATGGATTGACATGCCTCCTGCTGACTTGCAAGGGTCTGGAGGGGGGAAGAAACTGTCAGGCGTGCACGCACCATGGCGTGATCGGAATCAAGTGGTGTGCTCCAGAAGGAATGGCAGTCTTGAATTGTGGCTCTCCATCGGTGGCTGATGGTCATGTGATCTAACTTGGTCCACGGTTGATTTTCAGTTGTTGGCCGCCAGTTTACGCGATTCGAACGTTTATGTTAAAAGTTCGTGCTTGCCATAAACAGTTCATGATCAGCACACAACTGAACTAATCGATCTCCGTTGTCTGTGCGGCGAGCATAGACTTCGAATCGGCTGCCCAAATATTCCAAGGAGCTCAGACGACCTACTTGAGCATTCAGATCGCCTGCAAGGATCACAATATCAGTGCCTTTCGCTTGACGAATGAGCCAGGATAGCTCTTGAGGAAAGTATCCTCCTCAGCATCAGAACTGCAGTCCGTTTGGACATACGCTGGTACTACAAGCAGGCACCGCTTTTTATGCAGGAAAGCACTGGAGCTTGATTGAACTGAATAACCGAAGGGCACAAAGACGACTGTTCACTGGGATCCGATCCAGCAAATCGCATTCAGCTATGGAGTTGAGTGCAGCTCCCACGCCATATATTTCACGAGTCGTAGCTTCTGGATCACCGGGCACACGGAGGGAGAAATGTAAGAGAGCTGAGTACATCCTTGGCGTTCTGAGATGCATAACCACGCTTGGGTCTTGTATGCGTGTTTCGGAGACAGCATCCATCAATTTTAAGGGAGTATAAGGTTTCAGCAAACATTGCCTATTTGCTTAAATATCCCCATGGTTTGAAAAAGTACACAGTGACGAACATTAATGTTTTCGGGATCTCGTCATCAGGTCAGTACATATCTAATTGTTAAAATAGGAGCAAAAAATGAAATACGCTGCGAAGATTGGTCAGTGAAATCCAAAACGTGGAGACACGAACGATTGGTTGTCTGCGCCCCCCCTCCATGTGGAATCTAGTTGGATGCTGTGAAACAGTGAAGAAGGCTGTTGAGTGACTTGGCCGATTGATTTATGTCACACGATCAAGGCAGACTCAGCCTTCGTACGAAACGCTTTTGATAGCACAGTACCGGGTTTCACAGGCGAATAGCGACTGCTTCGGCTGTAGTCGAGCAACGCCGTCGAATCGATACTGGTGTAACGGTGGTACTACTGATCGGGAGGCACGCGAGTAGTATGTGTTGTTCGTAGAATTTCGCTTTGCGTCGACTGAAAAAGGGAATTCTGTTGCGGAATTCGTGGGGCCACTTTGTAACATTTGCTTGGATTTGACCGACGAATGAGTGGAGGCAACGAATCTCTAGGAAGACTCGTTCGGGAGAAGATCTGTGTCCAGTTTTTGTAACTAAGATGCAGATTAGAGTTTTGCTTCCCTGTTCAATGGTCTGTAACCGGTCAGTTGGCATTTCCGAATAAATAACTCCGCAGCGAAGGCCTTCGTCCTTTCACTGGCAGTCTATTTGGCACACGGTAAATGACTCAAAATGACTCATTTGGGACAACTAGGTGCCCGATGTCAATTAGGTGGGACGCAATTGAGCTTCTGGCTGAACTGTTGAGGCGAATGATATTCCTGTACGAGAGGTGCTCGCGTATTCTTCTACAAAGCTGCCGTGTTGTGTGCCCAACATAGTCCGCTGAATAATAGCAGGAGAAAGAATGCACGACTATATTCTGGGTGAGGACTGGCATCTTGTCTTTGAGTTTAAGTTGAGCAAACGGTTTTTTGTGAACGAAGACCGCAGAATTCCAGCCGGAAACGTGCGTTGTAGGGATTGAAACAAACGGCGATTGACTATGTCCGCCAACAGATCGTCTTTATACGGTAAACTCAAGTATATTGGCTTCTTTCCAACGGTCGTGATAGGCGGTTGGATAAGGCGGTTTGCCAATTTGACATAGATTACGGACAATAAAAGCTCCAATGTAGAAAAAATATCTTGGACTCGGAAGGGTGTTATTTTGTTTATTGTCAATAAGCATTGAGGTGCATAAGTCCCTTCGGTCAGATAACTAACAGTCGAATGACTCAGCACAGTTGGTTGCGTGGTGGGAAGGGGTTTGGGAGGGACATCGGTGGACACTGAACTGCGCGGTCAAATATACTTTCCGGTTACCCAGGTCGAGGAAGGGGGTTTGGTTTAGGTGCTCCACCTTGATCCTTTACTCAAAAGTCTGATCCACAAGGCAGTGGGAGGATGTAGGGTTTTGTTTGAAGACCTTGACCCTAGCCTCTCACTCAAAAGGCTGACCCGCGAGGCAGTGGACAGTAAGGTTTTCTTTGGACACCCTGCCCTTAGCCGATGACTCAATCATCTGACTTGTTCGGCTGTAGTAGGTTGGTCTAGCCCGAGGGCGAAGGAAATCAGGCATTGCTGCCCCATTCCTGATGCAGCTGCACACAGCAGGTGCCCTTTGAGCAGCACCAGGCTGTTTGGTTTCGAAAGTATTTCAACCATATAAAATAATGCGCCGGCGGTCACGGTCAGCCGTTAGGTGATCGGAGCATGCGGTAATTAGGGCCAACTTTTCTAGTCCTTCCCTCAGGGGAAGGCAGAATCACTGCTTCCATGAATACCAACATGCTGGTTGCCTGGGTGAAACACCTTACTGCTTTCACATTCCTTTCACAGAGGACAGCACGGATTCACCTCCAGACCGCCTAGTAGCACGATCACTCGTGGTATGGGGCCTCGCTGCGCTTGGTCCGACTGTTCCCCTTTGACCTTCCTTGCATTGTTGCAACTTGTGGAACGAAGTTCCAGGCAATGTAGCCCTCGGGATCTTTGTAGCATTCAAGCCCGATCACCACTTCAGGGTGGCATCTTTAGGTCGGGAAGCCGTATTCATTGATCCTCTTTCTGGGTCTCAGCTCGGTTCCTCAGTGCTGTCACTTCCGGGCTACCAAATATTCTGGTACACCTTCGTCATCTGAATTGCACGATCGGATGTCGGTTCAGAACTGTGTACAAACGTACCACTCACCTCCATGCTCAATGGTTGGTGGGCTGTCAATTTTACTGCAAGTAGTATGGTTACTTTCTGTTATGGGTTTAACGTGGATCCTTACCGTGTTAGGCTTGATTAAAAAAGAGAAAGCGTTCAGCCGTAGCACTCTTCCGGTGCCTAGCTGCCATGCCACCCAAAGGAAGCACGAGGGCTGGGATACTGCCAGGTTGCCCAAGCCTAGACAGGGGAAGTCGAGTGGTGGAGGTCGGATTCGAACCACGGAACTTCCGGTCAGTAAATTCACGCTCTAACCACTTGAGCCATCACGATATCTAAAATTCTAACAGAGAGAACTCCACTTTAAGACATCAAGAGGCTAAGATCGCTGCAATGTCTTTATAAGAAACTGTCGTGTAGGTTTTTATAAAAAATGTTCTTCCAAGGCGTTTCTGTACGCTGCTCAGGTATACTGATTTCCGAGTAACCTCAAGAAACGTCTGTGCCTGTTCCACACTGATACTTCGTGGGCCAGACATGCTCAATCGGTTGAAAGAAGACCGTTCTGTGACAGTTCTGAATATCCCATACCTTTTTCACCGAGTTGAATTTGTTAGCTGCTGTCTTTTATGTGGTTTATCCCCTAGTTTGATCAGTTTTTGTATGTTTTTTGTACAGACTTCAGTGAACAGTGCCCCTACCTTTGAGCACTTTTTCGGTCTTCCTTGCTCGTTCTGTTGTGTCGTATACAGTAGCCTCCTGATGAGTTGAGGCTTTTTTCCTCTTGGGGGGTATCCCTGTTAGACCGTGCTTACGCTAAACTTCTGCTGACAGAAAATACATTGAAGGCCTCTTCTGAGAAAATCCTTTTATGGGGGATAGCCATATATTTGTCAATGGTTGTTTCACTTGTATACCATTCTCCACATTCCTGTTATTTTTTTCTCAGCACGCAACTTGTCCAGTTTGTCGAAAGGATTTGAACGGGCGTGATACCTCTATGGATGGAACGGGTCCGAACCCTGACGGAGCCGAACAAACACCAAGTTCTTCAAACTCCTGAACATGAGATATTTTTGCTAACTGAACAATAGAGCCTATTCTCTCCAGTCTTCTTGCCCGACTGCCTATAGTCCATTCAAAGTACAGTTGTTTTGGGAGTCCTACATACAAACCTATACACACTGGTTACAAAGCATACAGACTGAAAATTGGGATCACATTCGTTTTTACAAAATCCGAATATGTATCTCGTTTAAAAAATGTGTGACCCACTTGATCTTTGCGTGCTCCACGCGCACGAGCATAAATCAACAGTCGACTGTGGCCACACTTCGTCTCTTTTTTCCTGATGTTCTGCTTTGGCAACGTTGACTACAACCAGGGGAATGGCACCACCTATCTCCTTTATGCGGTGTCTGGTAGTATTTTAAAACAATCGGTCTGGACCATCTTGTTACTCTCTTCCAGTTGTTTTTCGCTTGAACGGTATTTAATTGCCACGTTGTGTAACAACATCCCACAATGTGAAATGCCACCCATGCGCTTTCCCGCATTTCTCTCATCCAATTTCCCACCCCTCCCGGTTAGTCTTGTCACTTACTTTCCTCGTCGACTGTTCTGGACAAAATGCAGATTTGATTACAGCGCAACAGTTGAATTGATGGGTGTACGAGCGAACACACGCAATCCTGCGCACATAAAGAATTCTCTTTTACTTGTTGGTTCCGGCTGTTTTTCTATTTATTTAGGTGCATTTTTTCTCTTGATGCTGATTACCCAGCAGAACGCGAGATAGCCCGTCTGTCTGACATGTTCGAATGGATCGGAAATACTCAGTTTGAACCGGTGAAACTGGAATCGAATGGGAATTAATCCAAACAAGGTTGGGTCGTTTAGTCTGTATGGGAGCCCTGAAGGTCTGGTTTCCTCGAGTTGGCAGCACAGAGTTGGTCGTTGACACAGTGCCGTTAGATAATCGGACTTTCACAGCTACCAGGAACATGTGCGTCAGCACTGGATAAACATCGGCATCCTTCAGCGTGAATTCCAAATTCACCTCGTTGCTAATTAAATGGTACGTACACGCCACGGGTTAGGTAGTTATTGACTTTCAGGAAGAAATTTCTTGCTCAACAGTTTAGCCTATCTTCCGGATTTGATTGGGATATGTATTGGTTATGCCGAGCCATCATTTGCCGGAAGCAGAGGTGGCGAACCCTTGATCTGACAGAGGGCTATGGGTGAGATTACGAAACATTTGGGTGCTGTCCGTGCTACACACCTTCCAGGATGTGAACCGCGTTATCCCCACTGCTCCTGACTGGAGACGCTGCAAGGTGTGACTGCCAACCGATGTCAGTGGCGTTCTTGTTATCAGTCTCTACACAGCTCGCCTGAACGAGTGGAGGTGTAGGCACTTCGAAGTGATTGTAGTAAGCTAGCACCAAGTCCTTTCGTCCACCTATATTTTCTTCATGAGGCTTTCAAATGAATCATGGTTGTATGGCAGCGAAGCGTCGGTGTTGCCTACGTGTCATGCGGTCAATGGTGTCCACCTATATTTCTTCATGAGGCTTTCAAATGAATCATGGTTGTATGGCAGCGAAGCGTCGGTGTTGCCTACGTGTCATGCGGTCAATGGTGGTGATTCGGCTTCTATATAATTTACCGTATCAGCTTCGGCAGTTTTGCCCTTTATTTATTGTTTAAGAGCATGGTCACAAACAATAATTCCCAGCGACAGCATTGGAGGGATGTACGGGAGAATATTAGATAAAACGAGGTAAGCGTCTCATTCGGAGGCGTGTCACCAACAGTTCCAGTCAGACAAGATGAATCCCAACGTATGTAAGAATGTTTGGTATCGAAGCACGCCTGTAAAGACCAGCAGCTGAAGCAAGGACAAACAATGATAAATGCTCTTCAAGGTCCGTCACGAAGAGACTGGACCTTACCGTGGTGTGACGGTTTGCGCACCTCAGCGATCCATTGAGCTATACTGGAGAGTGTCCCGCGACACTCACAGAGTCTCCTTCCCCCCTCCCCCCCCATTAATAACTCTCTCCTTGTAGGCCCAGCACTTAGGACTGATGACTCCGTTCGTCATGCATCGGTTTTGCGTTCAGGATCTGTTCGTCACATGGTGCCGGCATTTTCAGGAATCTCCAAATCAGTCCTCAAGCCTCGACACCCAGTCTATCTGGCCGCGTTCAATGTCCGCACTCTGAAGCAAGCAGGACAACAAGCTGCTCTTGCACTCACACTGGACTCGCTTGGCATTGATGTGTGCTGTCTCAGCAACGAGAATTCAAGATGCAAGCACAGTGATTGAGTTAACCGCCAGTCTCCAATCGCTTCCGACTGCGCACCTCTGGTGATCCAGAAGCTGCTGCGGTGGGATGTGCAGGGGTTGGTATTGTGCTAAGTCACTGGGCGGAAGTATCCTTACTTGACTGGATACCTGTTGATAGTCGCCTCTGTGCGGTTC